TTTTAAATCTATTGAGTGTGATTATAAGGGTTGGTGGTGGCTTTGGCACTTGGATTAAGTTTTGGACACCCTAGTTATGCTTTAAAAGCATAAATGAGTAAGTTTGTATTTTAGTGTCCAACTTTTGATTGAGAAATGATTTAAATGCGAAACTAGTGCCAATAGCTAAAGCTTGGAGAAAGCTTTTTGTAGACACCTAGACCACCTCAATCGAACGTCAGACGAAAATTTAGCGTATGTCAAAATTTCAGCCTAAAAGTTTGCCATAACAGCTTTTTGCTACTATTATGGATTCTGCTATTTCTGTTACAGCATAAAATTTATGTTGCAGCGTAATTAAAAATTAGTTTTTATTATTATTTTGACCCTAGTTTGATGTTATCTTACCTTGTATGATATCCTTGCTTCTGTATGCATATTTTGCTCTGGTTTTATTTATTTAAAATAATTTTATAGCATTTAACTTTTAAAGACTTGGGATCCTATTATAAAATTTTTTAGAAATTTGGTAATTCATTGTGGGTTATTCTTATAGTTTATCTTGATTTTGTGGAGTAATTGTGGATAAGTAAGGGTGACCTTATAGCTTTAATTCCCATATCTTACGTCTCATCTCTTTTATCTTAACCTTATACACATTCCTGCGTCTTGGAGGCACTTTGGGGTGTTTTTTATAAGGTTAGGACTTTAAGAAACAAATATAAGGGTGTGATTGTATTTTTTTATGGTATAGGATGGAAAGAAAAATTTCAGAAAAAATTGGTGTGGAAATGTTAATTTTGGGTAAATCTGGCCAACATATAATTTTTGTAAAATTGAGGGGTTAAAGTGTAATTTTTCAAAAATGGGTACAAATGGCTTTTTGTAAAATGGCGGGGTCAAGTGTATTTTTTGGAAATTATTCGGGCTAAAATGAAATTTTTGAAGTTAGGGGTCAAATTGTAATTTTTAAAATAGGGTTGACTAGACAGGATGGCGTGGCTAAAGTGACATATGGCAGAATCTGGTTGGCTTGACTTGTTGTTGACTAGTCAAAAAGGTGATGTGGTTGATGCCTTGACTAATGATGCCATCATCTTCAACCTCCAGCAGGCACGTGTAACAATGGTGACGGCGAGTGGGCGTTCAAGTGATGGAGTGTGAAGGGTGTGTGAAAGCATTTTTGGTGATAAGGAACCTCCTATTCCACGTTTTTTGAACTTCCTGAGCTTGATGGTAATGTCAATTTTTGAAAAAATGCATGAAATGCAAGGTTTGAACAAATCAGGGACTCCTCCTCAAAGTTTCTCCTCTCTAACATAATTCCTTAATTCTCTCACCTCCTCACTCTCTCACTCTCTGGACCTCTGGGGATAAGCTTTGATGCTAAAATGGTACAGAAACCAAATAAAAAGGGATATTCTGATCTTTATTCCAAAAATAAATGATGCTACAGCATAAAAAGTAGTCCTATTTATACTATTAGGATTCTAAATGGAATAGGTGAGAGGGTACAAATGTTATGCTAGCTTTTATTGGTTCTAATTAATCTTTAGGATGTTGGGACATTTTTGGCTTCCTAGATGTCCCGTGAACGGTAGTGAGACGGGGCTCATGCTTCCGTTTCATATAGTTTTGGATAAGACAAAAATAGAGATTCTAGAGTCTTCAGTGGCTCTCTCAATTGTGGCTGAAATCTTTCTCCCCTCTCGAGCTCCTTAATGTCTGTGAAAGTAATATTTCCTTTTTGACAAAAGTGCGTCAAAGAGATGGCTTGTGAAACTCTTGCAGGTATCTTCACCTTCACCTTTAAAGCTTAAAACATATCGAACTTCCACATCCCAAATTCTGACCTGAAGTCCATTAATTTCTTTGTTATAGAAGGAATTATATCTCATCTTCTGATAAACGCATAGCATATAGCAAGATATATGTAAATATAAGCATTAACAAATGTAATGGAAGTGAAGCAAATTTGAAGGGAGTTTGTGGGGTGTGGTCATATGGAAAGGAGATGAAGAAGATAAATAGAAATTTGCTGTTATGTGTAATGCGAAGATTAGCAGGGGACATAATATTTTAATTCAAAAAATTAACTTCCATGTTCAAATAATGAATCCTTTTTTTTTATTATATATTAATAGTTAAATCCAATTTTATTTGATTTGTGATTTCCCACATTAATTTATGTTCACATACATTGGGACAACCCTAATACATATAATAAATACAAAACTTGGAAGTTAAAAAGAGGTTGTTAACTACTCCCTCACATTGCTCGATTAAAAAGGAGCTAATCCTTCGCATAGTGATAAATCAAGTATCAAAATTTAGTATTTGATTGAGTTTCAAATAAGATTGTCTATTATGAAAAAGAATGGGTGTATTGTAACTTTAAAAAGAGAGAAGTTAAGTTGAATCTCTATTCTCTCAGTTTGTGATTGGTGGCCGGTTCCCTTCTTTTCAGGTAAGTTCAAATTTTATTTTCAAAAGCAAACATATACATAGATTTAATTGGCATTATATGTTCACCTAAAACTCCAAGATATTGAATCTATGAGTGTTATACCACAAGGAAAAAAAATAATTGGCAACACGAAATTACTGCGTAGCGTGTATAGACAGATGAATAGTACGTAATAGGGGTAATTGTTCAGCTGCTTAATGTGCCGTTGAATCAGAGAAAATAAGTTAAGGATTCATCTTTTGTGGGCCACGTGCAAACACTAATATTACCAAAAAAACACTTTGAAGCTCCAAAAATAGGACCCCTACCTTTTCCAACGATTTGTGCACACATAACAGTTGTTTTGCTAGTCTCCATCTTCAAAAAGGAATCCAAGGTTCTATGTTAATACTTAACACTTGCTGATTTTTCAAAGATAGAGCCCCCATGCATGCACGCTGTCGTCATTCATCAACATGCTTTACCTCACAAATCAGACATCAACAGTGAGATGTGATAATTAACTACAGTATATATCTTTCCAGAGGAAAGTTGAATGTTTCTTAAGTTTCCACGAGACTAGAATGACTCTCATCAAAGAAAGATTAAGGAAGTGTTCTTTTTGTTAGTTTTCACGAGACTAGAATGACTCCCAGAAAGATATAAGAAAGTGAATCTTTTGTAAGTTTCCAATTTCCATAAGACTAGAATAACTCGATCGATCTAAGAATGATTTCCTGCCATTGACTATTGACGCCATGGGTGACCATTGACATTTGACACCCAACAATAACAATGAGGGTTGAATAAGTTAAACGGATCATTATTCAAGGGTTTATTCATTTAATCATATGGTGTGAGAGACAATGATTGGTCTTTGGATTTGCCAACTTGCATTCGCATAGTATATAATCATTATTATTTTAACTGGAAAACACGTGTTGACTGTTGTGTTGGTTAGTAAGAGTTATAATTAGAGTTGCTGCACTGCAGCATTATGCCTATATGCACGCTTAATTACCCCCTTTAATTAGAATTATTGGAACAGTGAGTCATGAAGGGAATTAATTTATTAATTGATTGTATAATTGACTGTATTTGTACATTCATTATTGTCCATATTATAAGGCACTTATAACTATCTCATTATAATTAAGGAGAGGTAATGCATTATATTCCCTCTCATTGTTAATGAATTTGAATAAGGATAATATTAAAAAAAAGTAATTAATATCATTACAAGTTCATTATATCAAGGGGAAAAATACTTTTAAAATGCGCTTTATAATAGGAATCAGGAGAGTAGTACATTAATCACAAACTAGAGTAGTACATTAATCACAAACTAAGGTTTGTCACTTATATCAAAATAATTTAAGTATACGTTAAAAGGACTCACCATATACTTATATAATTGGGATTAATTCTCTCGTCACATAATGTGGGACTATCACGCATTCTCTTAATTTGCTTTTGCGGTTTGCTTTCACTCGTCGTGGCATTGTGAGGAGTTTCCTTTCCAATGAAAAGCACCCATGTGTCCAATTTTTTTATTTTTGGCTGGAAGACGCTATCTATGATTAATTCTTCCCAGTAATTAAGGACTCCACTTTACCATCGTTGACCCATTGACCTCTCATTCTCACAAGGAAAAAGAAAAAAGGCAAAAAAAAAGAAATGTTTAATACTTTCATTTCTATTTACCATACCTACTTGGCTATTTGCATATAATCTTCTTAAGAAAGCAGGGCTAACGGTCAGATTTAAATTTTCCTGTAGTGCAGAAGGAGAAAGACCTTGATCTTCAACTACTCGGTAGGCTTTCCGGGAAGTTGCATATGAACACCATAAATGACCTCAAGCAAGAATCAGCTGAAACGATCTACATGGTAACATGAATGGGTGATCGTAAGTGGCAGAAGAAGCACTGCAAGAATTGTCAGCAGGTGGCACTGGCAGGGCCTAAAGTAAAGCGAAAGTATATTAGAACACTTTCATGGAATGCAAGTGGATGATGATCTACACAAGCCATGATCTCAAGTTGATCTCAAGTTTCTTCATGATTACAGAGTTCACTTTTCTTTTGGTATCATGGTCATTTCATGCTTTGTCCACAGTTAATATCCTTCCTAGTTGATCTTCAGGGCACATTCTTCCACATCAGCAAGGTGCATTTAAGATTTTAATCTCATGGAATTTCCTAAAGAATCGTTAGTATTGATTTAATTTATAGATGTCTGACGCAAAATATTGCCAATCAAGCAATGTGTTGACAACATCATTATCAAGAAAAGGGGATATGAAATATGAACTCAATTGTGTTGGGAGGGATAACATACTTTTAACAGTAAGGTAATCAGTCCCACATGTAAAAGATTGTATTATTATGTGTACTACGTTTAGTAAGTTGAATTAACAAGCTAGAGTATGACGTGAGATCAAATATAATTTTAAATAACATAATAATGAGTGTACCTACGTCAAATTGTCTGTATACAGAGACATGGCACAAGATGTGCACCTAGCCCAATCTCCAAAAGTTAAGTTTTCAATAAATTGTTGTCCAAGTTTTGACCATTCATCTTCAATATTAGCTTGCATTATCTTGGCCCATTCCTCTTCAGATATCAACCGTGGCAATCTGATCCTCAAATCATCCCTTCGAGCTTTAAGCACTCTTCCATTCTCACAGACTTCCCTTTTTCTCTTAGCAAAATCCTCTCTGGCTGAAGTGAAATCTGCAATCTCAGCTTTCACTGCGTTGATTTTCTTCTCTAGTTCTCTCTTCTTTTCTTCCAAATCTTCCAACTGTCTCCACATTCCGTTCTCTAATTCCTCAAGTTCTCGGAATTCTCTCACATTACCTTCAACCCCTTCTTTCAGTTCTTCAACTTTTGATACTTCTGCAGTTGCAGATTCCAGTTTAAAACTTGCATTGTGATAATCCGTACACCACTCAGTAAAACTACTTGAAATTTGACTTATCACTGATCTCATCCTCAACGAAATTCCATCTCTTGGGGTCAAACTGAGGAGGTACTCAAGGTTGTCCTTCATTTGCTTGGACTGTTCAGGTTGTAACAAATGAGAGAACTTTTCTGAGACAAAGCCTCGTACAATTTGCAATGCATGTTTTGTTTCTTCATATGACGTTGTGTTGATTTGGGTATCTTCGCGATCTGAAAGAGTTACATTCTCTGCTTCAAGAGAAGCATAGAATACTTCCATCGAAATCAGAGGACCTTCAATGTCATTTGTTTCCAATTTTTGAATAGCTCTAGGTTGTGGAATCTGGATGTTAGATTCCTCTGCTTCTAGGTTGGTCATTGTACTAATAACTTCTGGGACCTTAAAGTTGGTTGAAACATTGTCTGGTATTCCCTTGTTAGTGCTTGCAAAAGCAAAGGAAGTTGACCCCTGAACTTGAATAGGGAAATTGTTAGAAAGGAGTTTATCAATGTTGGGTTTTGTTTGGAATTGAGAAATTGAAAAACAGAGGAAGGCGAGCAGAAATGAATGAGAATGAGTAAGTTTCTTCTACCAATATATACAAGTCAGGGCCAAAAGGAAAATAAAAATCAAAGTAAGGCTTACCCGCACAAGTTTGGTTTTTCCAATTAAAAAAGGTTCTTTGTATTGGATGCTTGAAGCAGAGGGTTCTAGTTCTGTTGAAGGACCCAGAAGTAATTTGCTCACTTGGGCACCTGCAAGCAAAGGGGAAGACAAAGTTAACTAAAATCAGTAAACTTTGCAGGTTAATTTGGAGGTTGTTTCAGCTTGATTCAATCATTGCTTAGTCTTACCTTGTTTACTGCTTTCACCTTTCAAACTCTCCAACTTCATCAAATCCCAAGTTTCACTATCAATTGTAAAATCCCCATGTTGTTCCTCCTCAGGGTTGTCACTGCATGCCACTTTACCTTTCCCTTTGTCCTTAACCACAACCTCACATATTTCTGGGAATTCATTGTCGACGATGTCAGTCATATGTTGTTCTTCCTCAGCCTCATCCTCATCATCTCTTGTTCTACTAGATCGAAGAGCTTCCATAAGATTTATAATCCCCTTGCCAAAAAATTTACCTAATACTTGACGGAAAACAACATCTCTGTTTTCTTCATCATAAATATCCGCATCAGAATTTACCATATCTTTATGAGCAATGTCAGAATCCTCATCCTCTGGGTTTTTGAAGGAGACGTCATGGATGTTCATTCTATCCTTATAGAGATGAATCCCACAGCACTTAACAACGGCATTGCGTGGCTGATTGTTCTTGACAGTACATGAAATCTCCACATGGTTCCAACCTTTACGAAGATGTTCGTTGAGGTTGAGCCTCTCCTGGGCTGTCAAGTGAATTCGCAGGTCAAACAGCCATACATGGTCAATTGGCAACGTTCCTTCATCTTGGTACACTTGGAGGCCATTGATGATCAAGCTGAATTCGCATGTAAAGTTGATGCATGATGCTTCAGTTTCACCACCTAGAACCAAAAGTACAGCAATTTTAGGAAATTTCCGACGAACCCAGAAAGCCACAGATCCTCCTTTTCTACAATGGTCGAACCATCTTGGAATTTTCTGCCTTGAGACAACAATGTCTATGTTCTCCACATCTAGAAATGCCTGTTAATTAATTGTTATTAATAAACACGAAATAGATCACAACACTGTAATGTGTTTTAGTCATTTGTGTCTATACTAGTTTGGGTTTTATAAGAGTTATTATATTATATAGAACAAGAATGAGAAATCAACCTGACTCAGTATTACGTCAAATGAATCTGGAGTCAATGATGTGCAGTTCCTGGCATCAATGTATTGCAAGTATGGTGGAAGCACAGAAACGTGTCTAAGCTGCCTGCAATTATCCACATGAAGGAAAAGAAGGTCCTGAAGGTCTTCAATGCACTCAGGAATGCTTACAAAGTTGTTTTTTGATAGCACCAACCACTTCAATTTCAGAAAGGAACTCAAAATCAACTCAAGATCATCATCGGACAGATTACAGCTTTTTAGAACCAGTCTGTTTAACTTTGGTGTCCAGTTTGTCCGATCCACCATTGATACCTTCTCCAGAAGCTTTGAAAGCTGTGGACATCCTTCCACGTTAATCTCTTCAGTATTTTGAAACACATCAGTGTTAATAGGCAGATCTTCAATACAAGAAGGCAAAACTAGCTCCTCAAGTCCATCAATGTTTGTGATTGAACTGGGAAATTTTTTTATTGCAGTTCCTTCCGTGTCAATATTTTTCACGTTTTCCAATTTTGCCAACATATTTGGGAAACTCTGAATGCTAGAGCACTTGCTGAGATTTACATATTCAAGAGATCTAGATCTCATGACACGTGGAATACTCTGAAGTTTAGGGCAATTTTGGGTGCTCAACGTGACAAGCTTGCCAAGATTTCCAGCAGATTCATCAATTTCAACCAAGTTTGGACAGTGGTTAGCAAGAAGTCTTGTTAGATTAGGAACTGTAGAGACATCAGGTATTCTTGTTATAGAATTGTTGTTACTGAGGTTCATGAAAGCCAAGTTCTCAAACTTCTGCATGACAACGAAGTAAAACAGTAATTAGTTGCGGTATATATAGTATATACAGAAGCAAGAGTTGATGACCAAATGATTAAGCTAAGAAAGAAAAGACAATATTCATGTGATATCATTCTTGTTATCAATATCCGATGAATATTTTCCCCAGTTTAGCAGCTATTAATAATCTCTAAGAAGGTAGCTCATGACATTTCACAATGATGATGTCAAAATAACAAACCTTGAATGGCTGGTCAGGTGCAAGAAGACTATGTGGCATGTTGAGGACAACAAGTGTGCGTGGATAAAAATCATTTGGTAAAGATGGTGAAGGATATTGATTCCACTCAAGCAATCTCAAGTTGTCTGGAAGATGTTTAGGAGCTTCAGAAACACGTGCATTCCGAACTATGAGGACTCTAAGTCTCTTCATTATCTTGAAGGCATCAGCACTCAGCTTCACTTCTTGTTCCAGGTTAGGCATGTCCAACACTATGCCTTCTATAATATCACTTCCCTTTCATGATCAAATGTCAGAGACTTCTTAATCAGTTAAATCTGAACATGATGATCAGAAAAGAAAAATCGAAGTTCGTATATCTATCTTTCATAATTTAATTTTTGTAATTATATGTCCCTAGCTAGCTTGTAATTTTAAGAGTTTTTGGTTTACTACTCCAAATCATTAGACTTCCATTAATATTATATGGATAAATAGCAACTTGCTAGGTTTTGACGACATAAGTCCAAGACTTACTATGTTTTTGGTTAGAACTTCAAGGACATCCTCATGATGCCACAATCTTCTACGTTTCCCAGGATCATGTGGCGAATCCTGTCTAGCAATGTCCCTTCCCAGGTCTTGAATCAAATCATGCATCTTCACCCTACTAGTTTCATCTATGGTTAAAAGAGACTTGTCTTTAAGAACTGCAATACCATATTCTGAATAAAAACGAGAGGCATCAAGTGTCGTCTTCACATCTTCCACCAAATTTCCTTTGAAGAAACATGCAATGTCAAGGAAAATCTCCTTCTCATTGTCATCCAAATTATCATAGCTCACTTTAAGCACTTCAATAATGTCTTTGCTTGGAATCCTTTCGTACTTCTTTAAAGCACTTTCCCACTCTTGTATTGTTTTCCCAAACAAATCAGAACCTATCACATTCAAAGCCAATGGCAAGCCTTTCGCATATTGCACTACAAGCTTTGCTATCTTCATATAGCTTGGATCTGGTTCACTTCTTTTAAAAGCATTCCAACTGAACAGTTCAAGAGCTTCATCATCATTCAGTTCTTTCACTTCACATAGCCTTTCAATCCCATGTAGGGTTAACAAATGCTTGTTTCTTGTTGTTATAATAACCCTACTTCCAGGACCAAACCAGTCTTGGCTTCCAGCCAAAGATCTCACTTGTTTAAGGTTATCAACATCGTCAAGAACCAAAAGAACCTTCTTACGACGAAGTCGATGTTGTAATATAGGAATCCCATGGCTTACATCACCTAACTTGGTATTATGTTCTGCAAGCAAATCTGAGAAAAGTGTCTCTTGCAGATGTACAAGACCGTTCTTGATTGAGTTTTCTCTTACCTCAGCAAGAAAACAAGAAGCTTCGAATTGATTCGCAATTGAGTTATAGACTGCTTTTACGATCGTTGTTTTACCAATACCGCCAATCCCATGGATTCCCACCATCAAGGCATCTTTTCTAGAGTTCATGCTTAAAAATGAAATCACTTGAAGCATTCGGTATTTTAATCCAACTGGATAATCAGCGATGTGTAAAGATGAGTAATTTAATTTGCTTGAGATCTCTTCCACTATTTTCTGAATAAACTCAAACTCATACCTGCAGAATTATTTGCGGCAAGTTTGTCATCAAGAAGAGTTAACTAGGCTTGCGTAAAACATAAGAAAGGTAAAAAGTTAGATGCATGTCACCATGCATGGCACTACAACAACAACAACAACAAGCCTTTATCCCACTAGGTGAGGTCGGCTACATGGATTGCAAGACGCCATTGTGCTCTATCGTTTATCAAGCTTTTAGGAATATTATTAATTAAGAGATCGCGTTCAATAACTTCCAAGAGTATTCTCTTAAACCTTCCTCTACCTCTCTTAATCGGACTCAAAGTTATATATTCCACTTTTCTCACTGGTGCCTCCCTTGGTCTTCTTTGTACATGCCCAAACCATCTCAACCGATTTTCTACCAGTTTTTCCTCAATAGGTGCCACCCTCACTTTTTCGCGTACGTGCTCATTTCGAATTTTGTCTTTACGTGTATGTCCGCACATCCATCGTAACATTCTCATCTCTACTACTCCAACTTTATACTTTTGCTGTCCCGTTAGAGCCCAGCATTCACTACTATATAACATTACCGGTCTGATAGCAGTGCGATAAAACTTTCCTTTAAGTTTATTAGGCACCTTACGGTCACAAACCATGCATGGCACTACGTCAGAGAAAAATTAATCTTCATTATATGTTATTTATTCATTTGCATACTATTCAAGGCCACCTAGCTAAGATCACACATACACTAAATAAGTAATTAAAAAACACATTAAAAATTATAAAATAAAGCAAGAAACCACTATTGACAACAAGCTAAGGGAAATTTTTTTTTTCCAAAAAAGGAAAAATATTAAACAAAAAGTAACATTTAAATAAACAAAAGTAAATCCAAGAAGGTAAATAACACCCTAGCTAATTTAATAACAAAATAGTCATCAAATAACACAATATAGGGAGTTATATTTATAAATAATGTGACCAGATAAATTATATATATATATATATATAAAAATTGGAACAATATATACTCACTCCATTCAAAAATGTAAGGTATTTTTTATCTTTCGATGTGTAATTATTGCCTTTTTCTAAAAGTGCCCCTATTGATAATGACTTTATATTTATTGTATGGTGTTTAATAAGAGTAAATATAAAAAGATAGAGTTAGTTTAAAAGTAGGTAACTATTTTATTCAAAGGCCAGATTCAGTTAAAAATACCTTACATTTTTTAACAAAGGGAATATACATCAATTATATATGCTTACTTTGACCATCTATTTTTTAAAATATACGCAAATGTCTGCTAGTTCTGAAAGTAAGAAGGTCTATATATATAAGCAAAATTCAACGAAAATCTGTGTAAATATTTTTCCATTTTTTTTAAGAAAATTTGTGTATTTTGAAAACAAAAACAGAAGTTTGTACAATTTCGAAAAAATTAAAGAGAAATCTATTCTCACTCTCAAGTGATGCTTCTCCTGTCTCATCCCAAAAAGAAAAAAAATATTAGCTCTAGAGAAATAACATACTACATATATATACAGCAACAACGTAACAACGATTATACCAAAATAATATTAACAAAATAAACCAACAAAAAAAGAAAACTTCGAAGAAAAGCCATGAGAGGAATTTAATTTAATTTACCCAGTTGTGAAATGCCATCCAGACAAGTTGGCAGCCTCCTTAAGTGCAAGTCTCCAATTATTGAATCTGTCATCTTCAAGCCTCTTCTCTTTAAGCTTAGCTTCATGCTCAGCCATTGACCTTCCGTAACTTCCTCTCTGATGCCTTACATCTGAAGGATTTACCCTGTAAAACACTGGTCGAACGAGCTGTCCCTTCTCCTTCATGCACTCTATTATCTTCACCAGCTCGTCCAGGCACCAGCTTGACGACGCATAGTTCTCGGAGAATACTATGACGGCGATCCTAGATTCCTCGATCGCTCTCAGAAGATCCCGGGATATGCTCTCACCTTTCCTCAGCTTCACGTCGTCTCTGAAGGTGTGGATTCCCTTCTGGTTCAAAGCATAACAGAGGTTGCCTGTGAAACTGTACCGCGTGTCTCCCCCTGTGAAGCTCACAAAAACATCGTACGTCCAACCATGGTTGAAGCAAGACGAAGACGAAGACGAAGAAGAAGAAGAAGACCCTCGTTCATCCGGTGCCATATATATATACACACACATATATGAAGGAAAGTGATTTGTATGTGAGTCTGAATCGAATTAGGATCAGGTGAAGGTGAAGACTTCACAAACTTGTTAATTAGCCGGCCATAGGTGGACAACCATGGAGGAGAATATTAATGATAGTGATGATGACATTAAATGGTTTTACTGTTGAGAATCTGATTCGGTACGTGAGATATTACACGCGTCCCTCAGATCAAGCCGTTCAGATGTGACCGCGTAGCTTTATACCCAGCCAACTGTGGTGTGAAGCTTATAGAAGCAAACACGTCGGAGGTCCAAAGCATGGTTGAAAGAAGAGCGATCAAGAGGAAGAAGAAAGCCATTCTTGATCACGTGCCATATGAAGGTTCCTGATGTGTGAATGAATCCCAAACCTAGCTAAGATCTGAACAACACTTCAAGCCGGCCATAGCTTCACAACCTTATAAATGCAAGTGTTAAAACTCATGGAAGTCAACGGTGCCTATATCGATAATTTTAATGTTCTTGCATCGGTGATCAGTCTGTCATCTAATATTGTTCTGGATTAATTAGTTTTTAATTGCCTTTTTTATTTTCTGTATTAAGGCCAACTTGCTTTGATTTATTGCTCGGTCCATTTGCACACGTACCCCTTCCTTTTTAAAATGGAGGACACTTCTTAAAAATGGTGAAGGGTCTGGTCTCTTTTAATGACTTTTTCGAAGAGACGTTCATTTTTTACCAACAAATAATAGAAAATATATACATGGTAAAAAATAAAATATGCTCCGAATTTAAAACAGTTCAAAAACCCTGGTTTAATTATTCTTTTGAATATGAGTTCTCCCGGCTATAGTTCAATATAATATAATGCATTTAAGTTTAAAGGTAATAAAAATATTGAAGTTTATAAAGGTAATAAAATATTGAAATTTAAAGGTGCTTGGATTGGGAATTAGGAATTTAGGATGAACAAAGAGAGAAAGGGGACATTGAAAGAATCTGAGATAATGTGTATAATTGAGGTAATTAGTTACATGGTGCATGTATTTTGTAACACTTGCCTTGAGTGTTATCCAAAAATCACATAATTCAAACAAACTAAGTGTGGTTAAGGAGTTGATCCTCTAACCAACTTAAGAAATAAATCATTTAAAACCTTAAAAATAATTATAGGTTCTACCTATAGCGCACGGAAGCAAGTTAGACGAAAATGGAATAAAAAGATGCTGTCATGACAGTAATTTATTGCTGTCATGACAGCCCTCCTGGGCCAACTTCCAGGAGGCGGTGTTCCGTCATTCGACCTCCGATTGAAGTGATTTTAAAGCTCACACGTCACATTCAAAGGGTACTATAAGTGTACCAAATTTCAAAAAGATCCAACGGTCGGATTAAAAATTAGACATGTTAAAAGATTGACTATTTTTGCTGTCATGACAGCTAAAAAGCTGTCATGACAGCACTTCCGGACCAACTTCCGGAGTGCACCATTTCATCATCTGACCTCCGATCGGAGTGATTCCAAAGCCCACATGTCACTTTTAAAGAATACTATTAGCATACTAAATTTTGAAAAGATCCAACGGACGGATTGAATTTTGTGCAGGTTACAAAATCAACACTGTAGCTGTCATGACAGCAATTTAATGCTGTCATGACAGCACCTCCAGACCAAATTCCGGAGTGCGTCGTTTCTCCGTCCGATATCCGATCGATGTGATTCCAAAGCCCACACGAAGCTTATAAAAGGTTTTACTTGTGACCCAAATTTTAGAGAAATCCAACGGTCGGATTAAGATTTGGACACCCGGATGCAAAAGTGCAGCTTTTTGGTAAAAACCATTTTCAAAATTGTCCAAATCCCATCCTAATGGTCACAAACCTGTGGAAACACTTTGGACACGTCAAATAAGATTAAAAACACTTGATAGAACATTCAAATGATGGAAAACCCCCATACATCAAAATTTGACCACCCGGGTGCCATTTCCTAAAATGGACCCTAAACCCCCAAAATGCACAAATCATACAAGAGTGGTCACAAATCAATCCAAATACCATGTATTTATATAAATACATATGCTAAACATTTTCACTTGGCTCAGAGCTCCTTGTGGGGCCCACGCACCCACTCTCTCTATCCAAGCTGTATGTTTTCCCATAGCACACCATTTGCAATGCAACCACTTTGCATTTGCTTATAAAATCACATATATATCAAAATAAAGATCTGCTTGTAATAGAAACTTGGTCTACTAAGTAAATCCATCAAAACCACACACCATAACCAAGTTTCCTAGCCACAAGTCTGCAAACAGACAAAAATTCATACACAAGCACACAATCCACACATATTCACACACACACACATAATCATATCCTACTGGCACCCTAATCTTAAATACATTACAATATATTTGCTCAAAAGAAAGGGGTTGCAGTTCTTTACAAATCACAAGCAAACCCCTAGCTTTGCTCTTTTCCCCGTCCACCACTGGATCCTTCGCCTGGACCTAGAATATTGAAAAGAAAGGGGTGAGACAACCACAGTCTCAGTAACAGTGAAATCTATATTGATTATTACAAAGTAAGCCATAATTAAATAAATGAATAATAAATTCAACATAGTATATAATTTAGCCATTTAAAATGCATGAATGCATGACCTAGGCCGGTATGGCCTTTCATGACCAACAGAATGCCCCCTGGCACTCTTTAACTCGCAGGTAAACCTTATACCTACTTGTACCTCCACAGGCACAAAACATAATCTAAGGCATGATCTAATCCACCGAACCGCCTATGCCCCTTCGACGTGAATCCTGAGCAGTCAAAGCTAACTCCCTCCCAGAGCCAGCCCGACTTACTCTCCATGTGAGGGCTACCTTGGCCTAGGCACTCAACCTCACACTTCATATGTCGGATTCCCTCCCCCACTGAGAGGTGTCGAACACTCAATACACTAACCACTTTAGTGCACTGAGCCCACAATACGTAAGACAACACTGAGTACTGACAGTGTGCCATAGAATATCAAAAATCCACACCTTCTCATTGGTGAACTCCCACCGAGATCATGCCTTTTACTCTTGTCTACCTTTCCTGAGTATTGACCATTCAACACTCTAAAGTAGTATAATATTTATAAATCTCATTTCCATAAAAACATTGTTATTAAACAATTAGAAAACATATTTGCACTATAATCAAAGTAGTACCCCATAACCCCTTATAAAGCACATTTAATCTTTTAAAACATGTAATGCATGATAACTAGTAATATTTATTCAAAAATAGCTAAAACAAAGTAATAAGAAATATAAATTCCCCTGTTACCTCAACCCTTTGGTACTAAAAGGGTTCCCCTTGTACAAAATAGGGCTCGGCTTGTTCCTTACTTCTCAATAAGTTCCACCAACAATTTTCTACAACATATAAGTGATCCACATCACTTATCATGACAAATAGTATTAATGAAGACTATAACTTATACCACACAACTTAGGTCAATGAGTCATAATCCACCCTAATGGTCCATATATTAAACCAACCATTCACATAGTATCACTTAACCACCAAAACCATTTATTAGCCATCACTAGGCTAATTTTCAATTTATATAATTTTTTTAATCAATTAAAAACCTTTACTTAGTGCCACCAACTTTCACCATTAGCCCTTATAATGAAAACCAAACCTTAATTTAAATCTTATTGGGCTCAAATAGCAAAATTATAACTAAATCAATAGGCTTAAACCATTGAGGAGCAAAAACCCAATTTCTCAAGGTTTATTTTGTGCCCAAAACACCTCTTTTCATCCAATTATTCACTCAAAACATTAGATCACTATATAGAAACTCAAAACATGCTCCCTAGAATCCAAAGAAACAAAAGCTTACAAGAATAAAGCCTTTGGGATCAAAATCCAAAAATTTCCTCTTCCAAAAATTGAAGAAAATCAAGAGAAAGAGAAGAGGATTGAAGTAGGGAGTTTACCTATCGTGTAGCCGAGCTCGCAACGGTCGCAAAGACTCCTAGATCCAAGCCTAACTCCCTCCCTTTCTCTTCTCTTCTTCCTCTCTCTCTCTCTCCCGTTTGTGCGTTTGCTTCCTTTCTCATTTTCTCTGCGTTTCTGCATCAGTTTGCTCCTTAAAATGCTGGTCAAAAACTTTGGGGAAAATTACAAGAAAGGGCCCAACATTTTTTATTATTGCACAAAAGCCCGGGTCAACTTTGGTAATTTTTCCCATAGTTAAAAATCAAATAAAACCAAACTTTTGCTTAGTAAAATTCGAACTCTGGGCCTCTATTAAATTATTCTAAATTTTAATTTAATTATAGATATTTTATTTTATTTTTGTTTATTTTTTTTAAATAAATTTGAGTCTTAAAATTTTTAGGATGTTACATTCTCCCCTCCTTTAAAAAGGATTTTGTCCCCAAAATCCAAGCTAATACATGAACCAAAGAGATAAACATACCTAGGGAAACAACTGTGGATATTCCTTCCTCATTTGATCCTCAGTCTCCCAGGTTGCATCTCCCGGAGCTGTCCCTTTCCAAATCACTTTTACCAACCGGATTGTTTTATTTCTGAGTTGCTTATCCTTAGCATCCACAATACGATCTGGTTCAGTCCGGTAGGTTAAATTCTCTTGAATTTCAACCTCCTCAGGTTCTATCACATGCGACGGGTCTGGCTGGTACTTCTTCAATTGTGACACATGAAACACGTTGTGTAGACCCGCTAACTGAGGCGGTAATGCCAACTGATAAGCCACCGGCCCAACTTTCTTCAAAACCTCAAAAGGACCCATATATCGAGGAGATAACTTTTTAGCCCGAATTGAGCGTCCAACGCCTGTCAATGGGGAAACTTTGAGGAAGACATGATCCCCAATCTCAAAAGACAAGTCCTTACGACGATTATCTGCATAACTTTTCTGTCTACTCTGTGCTGTAAGAAGTTTTTGTTGGATCAATTTGATTTTCTCTGTGGTCTCATCTACCACATCCGGTCCCATCATTGTCCTCTCACTCAACTCATACCAACAAAGAGGCGATCTGCATCGTCTTCCATACAATGCTTCATAAGGAGCCATTTGAATACTGGCATGATAACTGTTATTATAAGCAAACTCTGCCAGAGGTAAATGCTTATCCCAGCTTCCCTGAAGCTCTAGGGCACATGACCTCAACATATCCTCTAATGTCTGGATCGTCCGCTCAGTTTGTCCATCCGTTTGTGGATGATAAGACGTACTAAATTTCAGATCTGTACCCATAGCCCTTTGCATAGCTTGCCATAAATTCGATGTAAACCGAGGATCACGGTCTGAAACAATATCCCTCGGTACCCCATGTAGTCGCACAATCTCCTTAATGTAGATCTCAGCATACCTATCAACCGTATAGGTGGTCTTGACCGGTAAGAAATGTGCTGACTTAGTCAAACGATCTACAATTACCCAG